GGGTGGCTTTTATTTTTAAAGTACTAAGGAACACAGACATGCCCTGTAAGATTCACCGTCACATGTGCCAAAGTCACACTAATGAACGCCATCAGCACTGCTTTGGGTCCCAAACTTCATACCACTGACTCAAACAGTTCTAACCCTCCATCAGGGATCTACGTGGGGCAAGACAGCTCTGGTCACTTGTGATACCAGATGTTTTCTTTTTGTTGAGACAGCTCAATTTTCTAGGAATAAGAGTATAATGTGAATATTAGCATTTGGGCATAGAGACCTGTGTTAATTTATTGTTTCCACAACTTTTTTGATGTCATCTAATAGCTAGTCAATTGGGGAGTTTTGGTTTTTGCTTTTGAAACAGGGTCTCAAGTGGTCCAGGACAGCCTGAAACTTACTATAATGTCTGAGGATGGCCCTGATCCTCCTGCCTCCACCTCTCAAGTGATGAGTTGATAGGTATATGCCACCACACTAGCCAGCGGCTTTTGAAAAATGAGCTTTCTGTACTCTGGTTTGTTTTAAAGGCAGTGTTGAAGACTGTCCCTGGCATACGTTTGTGACAATATCATTCTGAAGCTGTTCTGTTTCAGTCCCTTAACTAGGAACAGAGGCATTTAATACATCTTGAGAGAAATGCCATGAATTCCGGAAGTGCATGCTGCTTGCTGCTGTGAGAGAGAAGGTACAAACACAGAGCAGAAGGTTGTGTCCTGTACTTTTTAAGCAGTTTGGGCCAGCCGGTGGTGGCACACGCCTTTGATCCCAGCACTGGGAGGCAGAGGCAGGAGGATCTCTGTCAGTTCCAGGCCAGCCTGGTCTACAGAGCGAGTTTCAGGACAGCCTCCAAAACACTACAGAGAAACCCTGTCTCGAAAACAAAACAAAACAAAACAAACAACAAAACAAAACAAAGAACAAGCAGTTTAGAAGGACAAGTCTTTTGTACTGCTGTCCAGATCACAGACCACAAACTGTGTGTGTTTGTACCCAGCGGAGACAGCCAAGTGTCTCCGAGTATTCATGGAATTACTTCCATCATAAAAGCCACTGACCTGCCCAGATTCTGAGCTGTCCATTATTATGAAAGCCTGTGAATTTCCCCCACTCCTTCCGGCAGAGTAGGATGCCTGTGCCATTTCTGCCCCTGCACCTCCCAGCACAGAGTAGGACATCAGGAAAATATCTGGCATAAAAATAGAACCTTTTATTTCATTTTGTTTCTCTGTGTAATAGCTCTGGCTGTGTTGGAACTAGCTCTGTAGATCAGACTGGCCTTGAACTCACAGAGATCCCCCTGCCTCTGCCTCCCAAGTACTAGGATTAAAAGCATGTGCCACCACCGCCCAGCTAAAAATAAAACTTTTACAAAATGGTTTACTTAGATTCCCAGGATGTTTAGAGCACCCTACTACAGATAAAATATCTTTTTCATTGTTGTTTATTCTTGGATTTTGAAATTAACTAACTATTGAAGCAGCCAAATGCTGAATGAGGCTCAGCCGTAGGCTGACGCTCTAGGAATACCTTCTTGGATATATCAAGGTCTACACAGCCTGGTTCTCAGCCAAGGATCAAACTGGGTCTCTGAGGTAAAGCAACCCACGTCACACCCATCCTGAAACGGGATTTGGGGGGGAGAGGGGAGCTGTCTTAAATAGCAAGAAAAATATCAGTATGTGCTATCCAAAAGTGACTGATAATCATAATCTTCTAAAAATCTTGAATCTTGAACTCAAAACCAGATTATAAATGTAATAAAACATGACTCAGAGTAGACTTCCAGAATTAACCCAGCTTCTGACTGCAAATGTATTTTAGGGGATGCAAGTACATTGATTATTTTCAAGGTAAATATGTAAAAGAGTTTTGCTCAAGATTGTAGGCCTTTTATTTATGTTGATTTAAGGATTCTAAAAAGTTTAAAAAGATACTCATTCAAAAACATTTATCTTCCCTTAGCTGGGCAGTGGTGGCATACCCTTTAATCCCAGCACTTGGTAAGCAGAGGTAAGGGGATCTCTGTGAGTTCGAGGCCAGGCTGGTCTATAGAGCCAGTGCCAGGACAGCCACGATACACAGAAACCCTGCGGGGGGGGGGGCAATTTATTTATAAGTCAACACTCCTAAAGCCAAACTGTATCAGACTGGGAAACAGCCTCAAACCGTAGAGGAAGGACTCTTTAAAACGGCTGCTGTGACCTTGTCTTCAGCTCTGCAGGCTGCCTTCTCCTATGGCCGCTGATCTGCACACACAGGAGTTTCAGTCTTCATGTGACACAGAGAGCTCTCAGAGCCGAGTCCAGACTTGCATGTTCGGCTCTTTTACCTTCAGCAGCACTGACACGGTATCTGGTGTGTGGAAACACCCAAAATTAATAAAGTTATTACAATACTTTAGAAGCTGTGATTTACTACTTTCAATTTTTAAATATTCTAGAAGTGAGAAAATACTCACTAGGAGAGCTAAAAGGGGCAAAAGTGTCCATGACCTCACTTGGTACCTTTTTTAATTTTTTTAAGGATGACAGGTTAACCAACAATTTTAAAACTACATATTCATTCTGGTATACATATGTGTATATACATGTATCAGAATATATATTTTTTCTGATACCAAACAGCCAAATGTGGGGAAGTTGTAGTGTAAGCATAAGATGATGGCTGTCGCTCTTTAATGAGAATTTTCCTAGCTAGAGTAACAGACAGATGCACCACCTCATGTCACACTGAAAGGTCGTCTCCAAGCACACACTGAGGAGACTGACGTGTGGTAAGAGAGCCCTTCGGCCGGCATTCAGACATCGTGTCACCGTGTGTTATATAGCACGTATTATTTTTACTACATGCTATCTTTATTACAAAAACTCTAATTGCAGGAAAAGTCTTTTTACCCTCTTGATTTTGATAGGTGTTCCCACAGGAAGGAGGAGACCCCACAACCACTGAGGGCGTTTGTGGGTACCAGCCCTGGGAGCAGGGGTCTCCCCTTAAAGCAGGGAGGAAATTAAGCACAGGAGTCTCCGGATAAAGTAAGAATGAGAATCTGATGAAGATACGAAGGATTCAGGTGCCTCAGAATGAAAGCTTCAGCCCCCGTGTTCCCGGAACATCACGCATGCAGGCATTACCCACTTAAAAAAAATGATGTGAACTAAAGTCCCTGATGAAACAGCGTGTTGCCTGAGCATGTTGCCTGAGTCCTGCTCCTGAGTTGGAGGAAAAACAGAAAAGAAAAAAAAGGTTCTCTGAGTGTGATTTTAATTATGATGCCACTTTGCCTGGATGCCCCTCACGACAGCCAACAGAATAACACAACTCTGGTACTCAGATCTAACAGGCCTGAGAGCCCAGACCATGGTGAACATTTTGCACAAGGAAGGTCAGAAGGGCTGGAAGGAAAGGGTATCAAAGGTATCCCTGGAACTCAGAGCCAGTACAAAAAGCTATTCTCTTCTGAGACCTAATTACCTTTTATATCCAAAGGTACGCTGCACATTTGTTCATTGCTTATGAGGAGGACTGAAAAAAATATGTGTCATGGCTTTTAAATGGTCTATTGAGTGGCTTTCCCCTGCCTGTAAGAATGCCTCTGTTCTTTACAGGCATTCAGTGGATAAGTCTATGCTAACTTTTTCCCAAAACATTAAGTATTTTCTTATATACATTTTCAGAAATTCAGACTTGGTCTCTATAATTTCCAGAAAATTCCCTTCAAAATCCTAAAACAAAACCAAACAAAAATGTTCAGGGAACAAATTTTATGCTACAGGTTTGGAAGGATTGGTCTCCGATTAGAATCACTGTTTCTATATGATCCTTTTTCATGTTTTAAAGGAGGATATATATTTTTCTGTTACCTTTCCTGACTGTAAAGCAATCACAGGCGCCTGCAGGAGGCATCATAAATATGCAAATTTCTACAAGATGACTGTTTCCAGTGGCTGTGCCTCCAAGTAGTGAAGGGAGCAAGAGCTGAGCTGCCTGTGTCCAAGTAATTCGCATGTTGGTGGTGCCCCCTGCTGCAGTCACAGGTTGTCCAAGATGAGGAAAATAAAATTCTGAAGCATTTAGTTCTGTTAAGGTGGGAAATAAATGACCAATGCCCAAGTCCAGAGTCTCCCTACTAGTCGGAATCCCAGTTTCATCATTTTTCTAATCTAAATCGAAATTTTCATTTCTATCTCAAAATCTTTTAATGTACAGGTTACATAGAGATGGATTTTCTCAAAAGCAAGAAAATGTTAAGATCCAAGGCAGCATTTTCAAAGAATGAAATGTGTAAGGAATCTTCTCCCAGTTACCGAAGATAATAAATTGTGAATTAGAAGACTAGAATGTGGTTGTCTAGGACATTAGGACAGAAAGGGAAAAGTTAGTGTTAACAGCATGTGAAGCCATTACACAGTTTCAAATGGTTTTACTTATTAAAAGAAAATTTTGTGGGCCATTAGCTCAGAGTGTGGACTGGACATTTTAAGATTCAAAATAAAATGAAATGAAATAAATACATGAAACAAGCAAGTTATCAGCATAGGAAAACTAGTGGTTCTATAGTCACTCTTTACAGATTTTCATATTAAGATGGGAGACTGACAGAGCAGAATAACACAGTACAATTCAGACCTGTGACGGTCTATTGAATACATAATATGCATTTTTAAATTGCCTGAATATATATTCACATGACAGAATCTAATGGGTTTAGGAGGAGTCCTTGCTCTTGATCAAATCATAAAAACTGTTATAAACTTGTCTATCATATTAAATCACATACATTTCTATCAAAATTGTTTTTTGTCTTCTTGTTTAAATACTACAGTTGGAACAGATAAAAGGAGATTAAACCTGCACACAAAACAATCACAGTTCAGTGTGCATTGGGGATCTGGATTACAGCCATCAAAGCAAGCCTGGACTTCAGAAACCTAACTTCGCCTGTGGACTCCCCTCAGCCTTCCTGCAATGTCTCAACTGGTTATTTTTGCTATCTGTTTCAGAACTGTAAGCATTCTCCGGGCGTAAACACTTCTCGGGGCCGATGTGCTGGAGTCTGAATTTCAACTGAGCTCTGCATCTCGTTTCCATACCCAGATCTTCACAGGCAGAGCAAGGCAGAGGACTGCGGAAATTACCCCATCATTTCAGCAATGAGCCTGCGTTTATTGGCGTCACCCAGAAATTTTGTAGCCTGTCTGCTGAGCTCTGGCCCTCAGAGCCATGGAGAAAGAAAGGGACAGGAATTGCTGACCACTCCCAGGCAGAATTAATTAGAAACAGATCTTGATATTAAAGAATCTCATCTTTTCCCTACTCAAAATCCACACAAACACCCATGATTATATGTGATGAAGGGATTTGCAACCCACCCACTCTGGGTCTTTATTGCTACAGAAAGTGAACTGTTTGGGAAAGACTATGTACAAACAGCAGTGGGAAAGGAAACCCCTCTTACAGAACCCCAGCACATATGTTCTGTCACGAACCTTCTAGACCCTCACTACAACCGTTCAATCTATTGAATCAAGAGACTGTTTGATCTTATCTGCATTTGTGAGCTGACTGACAACCTGCTTGGGCTGCATATTAAATCATCTATAGTAGCTGTATCAAGCTGAGATGATCTGTTAATTCTAAATTTATTAACCCTTGGAGTGCAGTCATCAAGTTTAATCTAGTGTAGCTCACATTTATTCTACAAGACTAAATCCTTCTTTAAGATATGGTGGTGCTGTAGGTTAAAAACAGCTAATGTGGGTTTCCTCATAATTAGAGGAGAGCCACTGTCTGAAATGAGAGTATGGCTATTTCTCTTAGAATGAGATTTGTCTGTAAGAGAAAAGTTTTCTCCAACTGTCTCTAAAAAGAATGCAAGAGGAAAGGAGGAATGGGGAAAGCTTCTGACAGACAGAGAATTAGGGGCCCAAGGCCAGAAAAGAATATAGAGTGCCCTGGCCGGGTCACCTGCAATGTAACAGATTCGGAATAGATCACCAAAGGTACACACCCAGCAAACACCACCAACAAAATTCCTGCAGAGAGTCAAACTTTAGACTCATTAAGGGCCACCTATTCTGGACTAAAAGATTGTTCACCCTTTCCTTGAAAGAATTTTGAGCAAAACAAATGACAGTAACTCTACAAAAAACAAGTCATTTAATATGTTAATCTGGCATTTGGGATATATAGATATATGTATGCATATATATGCACACATGTATATGCTCAAGATATATACATATATATCTTCCACCTGCCCATTATCGATGCTATCAACATATTCATAGCTTTTCTTTCATACACAAACTGCTAGGCGTGCTCTCTTTTTTGGTAGCCACGTGCCTGATATCTCTCTAATGTAGCCTAATAACAATTTTAGCATTCAGATGAAGCGATTTCATTCTGTGACTGCCTTTTCTATTAGATTTGATCTTGAGAAGCCCCAGTGGGTGCCTTCGAGGCAGAGATCTATCTGCGAGGCTGCTACCGACTCAATAGCAGCCTGGGCTAACCTTGACCTTTCCCGAGACCCTGCTCCATCTGGTGCCAGCCTGCCTTCCACCACCCCCCCTCCCCTTCTTGCTTCATAGTCAACATTGATCAAGGCAGAACTGAGCGCTTAGTCTCCTGGAAGGGCTGGGCAGACTCAGGAGGACAGTACATCTCAGTGTATGGAAATGATGAAGCCTCTTATGCAATCATAAATCTACATAGGAGTCTTGTGATTTGATATTTCATTCACCTCCAAAGAATTTTTTTCTCCCTCCCAACAGGGATTTATAAGCTCAGTGAGAGCTCCCGGACAACGGCTTTCCCCAACACCTGGAAATTATCAAGCTTGCTGCTCACTGAGTGATGCTAACAGCTCCAACGCTGCAAATTCATTTTTAACAACTCACTGGCTTTTATCTAGGATTTGTGTGTGTGTGTGTGTGTGTGTGTGTGTGTGTGTGTACGCGCACACTTACGTACACGTGTCTTTCTCTAAGAAACTACCAAAGCAACGCATAATATCAAAGACACCCAAATCAAATCTGACTTAAATACCTCCACCTCCACACCCATCCCCATTTTGTGTTTGGAGACAGATCAGGTTTTCTGCGTCTGCATTCTGTCCCCATTCTAAATCATTAAGAAGGGAGAGAGAGAGAGGTAAGAGGTAGCCGTTAACCTTGGCCCCCGCCTCTCCCCGCCTGGGCCGCACCCCCCTGTTGCCCGCAGACACACAATGTGGCCTCCTGCATCCACACCGCCCACTGGAGCACACGGCCGCCTCCTGCGCCTGGCTCTCCTTCCCCTCCTCTGCACGGGGGCTGGGTGGTAAGAGGCGGACTGGGGAGTCACGTGGGCAGCCCTTGGGCAGCAGCTCCAGAGAAATTGACTGACTGGCCGCTTGGGCGCATTTCAATATATGGAAATGACCAGAGGCTCCTGCGATAAATCAGCGCTCAACACTTTGTCATTTGTCTAGTTCTGCTTCATTTTCCTGTTTTCCTCGTCTCCTCGCAGACGCTGGTTTCCTTCCTTTTGCCCTGCCGCATCCCTTCTCACCTTCAACCCCCGCCTTCTCCAAATCTTGCCCACCTTTCCAGCTGCCCCCCGCACCCCCTCTCTTCTCTGTCTCTGCTGTAATTGGAAAGATCCGGCCGGCGATCCCCCCCCCCTTCCTTTTCTTACGAAAAAAAAATGTAATTTTTCCCCCAACAAAATTGGCCGACATTTGCTGCTGTTCCTCAAGATTTTCTACAAGAGGTGCCCGGGATGCTCTTACATAATCCCGCAGACCTGGATCTCAGCCTTCTTAAAGAAAGAAAGGAAAGGGGGGAAGGGGGAGCATGGATCCCACCGCCTTTCCCCACCCTGGTCCCATCTCCCAGGAGTTCCCTCAGCAAACTTAAAAGACCATCCGAAGCAACTTGTAACATGAAATGCCCAGGATAGCACCTGGTGGACACCCAGAAGAACTGGGGGGCGGGGGTGGGGGGCGAGCAGGTTTGCAGGGTCCTGCCGGGCTCTTCCTGGTGCCCTCCACCTCACCCCACCCAGCGCCTCGGCTCCTTTTTTTTTTTTTTTAAACTAAAGCTGCGTCCCCGCAATCTGCAATTACTCTGATGTTTCTCGAGAGCTCGGCAGAGCCTGGATTCCGTGGTGCGTGTAAAAAAGCGAAATTAACAAAACCCCACCACCGCGCTCTTGCTTTCCTTGTTGTGGTGAGGGGTTGGGGGGGACTACTTTTTTTTTTTTTAAGTTGTGTTTAGGAGCAAACACTATCTTTCTCCACCCTCTAGCAACTCCTACTTGGGATTTCTAATCTTTCAACTTTTATCCTTCTCTTGTCCATTGGGCAGCCTCTCCCTTTTCTTTCTCTTGGATCTGGGAACAATAGGCATGTAAAGGGTCAGTGGGCATCACCCTATAAAGCTCAGAACCTAATTAATTTTATTAAAGGAGGATCTGTTTATGCAATATGACAGCCTGCGGGAATTAACCATTTGAGGACCCAAACGCTGGCTGTTCAGACATCAGAGTCCCTCCCTGCTCGCCGAATAAGCTTATACTTCCTGCCCCCATTTGACCCTGGGCCGCACCGGGATCTGAGTCCGCCCCTTCTAGCAAGCTCGTCCTGCGCTGGGGTTTCTGATCAACTGGATGAACTCAGAAGATCCAAACGTTCCCCTCCTGATGGCTGACGTCCTGACCCCCTGAAGGCTGGCGGCAGTGACCACTTAAAATGCGCCACTGTTGGGAGGGGGCTGGACCTTTGGTTGTTCAAGAGGACCTTTGGTGCTCTAGAATAGTCTACTTGGAAATTCAGTTGAGTGAAATCCAATAGGCTTCCTCGTGAGCAAAAGGAAAATACAACTGCTTTTAAGTTATTATTTTTTTCCTGCCATTCTGGTAATTTGAAATACATTTTTAATAACCTCCTGAAACAATTTAATAGTTCAGACATATTGTTCTTTGACTTAATATCCCTGTGCATTCCCTAATTGCCAAAACAAAGTTTATTTCATTTGCTAAGGCTAACTTCATACCTCCTAGGAATTCTAATGTCATAGTCTTGTGTATGTTTGTGTGTGTGTGTGTGTATGTGTGTGTGTATGTGTGTGTTTATCATCACCTTGGATTTTGTTCAACAGGGATGTAGAAATGTATAGCATATGTATAGAAATAGATATGATAAAATATTCAAGCACTTTCTGAAGGCTTGAAAATAACCCCCTCTTATGGAATTTGTTTTGATTTAGATCTATAGATAGTAAAAAGAATGAAAGAAACTGTGAATTACACCGAATATAAGATGTTTATCACTTTAATATTGCACTTCCTAGCTTCTACATCACAGAGCTTTAGAACGCTCCCCAAACTTTCTGGTAGAGCACTGCCTGGTATAGTCTGAGGCTTATCTGGAAAAACCTGCCAGCACATGCCAGCTAAAAATGAGTGTCAATTAATAATAATAAAAATGCTCCCTTATTTCTACACTTGTGTAATTTAACAGGTTTGGAGAAGAGCATAGGATGACAACAGTTGTGAGGACATTGCAATATATGTGCCTGTAACAGCTTTCCTTCAACGACGCCAAGCCTTCCTAAAATAGAGTGGCTTAGCATTTCTTTTTTATATTAAAAGTCCAATCTATACTTCACATAAAATGCTTTTTATCACAAAATATTTGTCTCTAACAAAATGCACTTTTTATTCTACCAAAAAAGCAAACATCTTGAAACAAACTCTCCCTGCTCCTTGCAGTCTCCCTATTGAAATTTTCTTTTCAGCGGCCCCTCCCCCACAGGGGGTGCTTCGAACACTGGAATAAAAATAATCACTTCTGAAAGACTGAATATTCCAGAATACCCTGTTTTCCAATATTGCTAACAAAATTCAATTTTCAAACTGCTCTCTGATGGAACTAGGCAAACTGGGAGACTTACACTGATATTTCTAAGTGCAGTTTGTTGCTTTAAAAACATATTGTACTGATTAATAAAAATGTGAAATAATTTGAGTTACAAATTTTGAACTACAGATCGCCATCTGCTCAAATGGGGGAAAACCAAAAATTACCGAGTATATTTTCTCACCTCTCCCTTTTTTCATGATAACATAAACAACATTCCTGAATAATTAAAAAAAGAGACTGACTACACTGGATGCATTTTTATAGTTCAACAAGTGCTTGGTGAGTCCACCTTCTCCAATGTGCAATTACGCTTTTTTTTAATTACTTACATATGTTCTACCAGAAGATTCAGGTCCTGGTGTTTTTCCTGTGTATTGCGGTGATCTGTTTAGCTCTTTGGGAACCTCTGGGTTGAGATGACAATGTAGAACACTAATGACAACCGCTCTTGGTGCTAGCTAACAACTCTGTCACAGACCTGTGAGAACATTTGATGTCCTGTGGGGAGTGAGAGAAGAGGAAAAAGGCCACAAAAACCAGGTTTTGGTGAAAAAGTATAATCCACCAATTAAATATGTAATCACAGAGATGTATGACAAACAAATTAGAGAGGAAGACAGTAATTAATTAGATGTACTGTCCATGGCTGTCAGCAGCAGCTGATGGACACGTACCCAGTGGAACTCACTGCTCTATTCACAGAAC